AAATCAACTGACAATCTTATGGGAAGCTTCCCTTGTAGGTAACTGACTTTCTCTTGCAGCTTTTAAGATTCTGTCCTTGTCTTTATCATTTGCCATTTTAGTTATGATGTTTCTTGGCTTGGGCCTTTTTGGGAGTCTCTGCGCTTCCTGGACTTGTATGCCTATTTCCTTTGTCAGGTTAGAAAAGTTTTCTTCCAACTGGTTTTCAATTCCCTGCTTTCTCTTTTCTCCTACTATTACTTTTATAATGTGAATGTTAATACACTTGATGTTGTCTCAGAGATCCCTTAAACTATCTTCATTTTTTTTTTTTTTATTCTTTCTTTCTTTGTGATGTTCCAATTGGGTATTTTCTGCTACCCTGTCTTCCAAATTGCTGGTATGATCTCCTGCTTCATCTAATCTGCTATTGATTCCTTTTAGTGTATCCTTCATTTCAGTTATTGTATTCTTCATTTCTGACAGGTTCTTTTTTATGGTTTCTATGTTCTTTCTTATGCTTGCTATTTCTTTGTTGAAGTTCTCACTAAGTTCCTTAAACATCCTTATAACTATTAATTTAAACTCTGTATCTGGTAGATTGCTTGCCTCTATTTCATTTAATTCATTTTCTGAAGTTTTCTCCTGTTCTTTTATTTGGGACATGTTCTTTTTTCTCCTCATTTTGGCTGCCTCTCTATGTTTCTTTCTATGTACTAGGTAGATCTGCTATGTCTCCCATTCTTGGCAGGGTGGCTTTATGAAGTAGATGTCCTGTGGGGCCCAGTGTCACAGTCTCCATGATCACCCAAGCCGAGTGCTCCAGGAGTGTACCTTATGTGAGTTATGTGTGTCCTTCTGTTGTAGTTGAGCCTTTATTGCTATTGGCATATCAGTGTGTAAAACTGAATCTCAGACTGACTGGCTGTGAGGATTGGCCATGACCCCAGCATAGGAGCTGCTGTGCAGTGGCTGACCCCATGGAGTTAGATTCACTCCAGCAGGCTCTGGTGTCTACTGAGACAACCCTTTGGGTGCACCTCTTATGGAGATTATCAGGTGGTGCTCTGTTGTGGTCTGAAGCTGGACCCAGGATGTGTCAGCTGTGAGGCCTTTTGGGAGGGGCTCTGGTGCAGGCCAAGGCCAGCCGCTGCCTGTGACTGGCCCAGGGCTATCTGGTAGAACTTCAAAGTGATATGCAGCTGATGGCTGCCTGTGCAAGATCTGGAGGCACATGGGAGAGGCCACCCTGTGAACCAATGCTGATTGCCACTATTACCAAGCCTGAGGTAGTTTTGCAAAAGGCACAGGGAACCCCAAGGGCTGTCTCCACCTGCTGGCTGCCCATGAGGCTCAGCCACTGAAAGAGCCTCTGGAAGTATGCAAGCTGGGTAAAGTGGAGTCTTAGAGAGTGACTAGGGTGGGGCAAGTGGTGTTCACCAGGTTAATGTAAATTCAGATTTGATTCCAGTGTTGAGCTTGGGGCTACTTGGCAAAAGTCTCAGGACACACCAAAGCCAGCTACCACTCACCTGGGACCTGCTGATACTTGACAGTTTTTAAAGAAAGATTGCTGCACAAGCCAAGGGCAGCTGCTTGTCACCAAAAGAGTATCTAGCAATGCATAAGTTGAGTGGGGTGAGGTCTCAGGGCTTCATCATGGTGAAGGGATTGGAGCTCACCAGGTTAATGCAGATTTAGATTTGGCAATGTAGGGGAAGGGCTCAACACAGGAACAATGGTGACTGTCCCTCCATACAACTCAGTTTTTCCCTTTATGTCTCTGGCACCTCCAGAGCTGCTGTCCCTCCACTAGAACCCAGATTGAGCACTTGTGAGCAAGTTGTTCTGTGTGCAGGCCCTTTAAGAGGATGCCTGGTTTTCCAGCAGCCTTTCATCTCATTGAATAGATGTAATCCTGCTGATTTTAACATCTAGATGTGGAAACTCCTCTTTCCAGCACTGATGCTCCAGGATGGAGAGGTCAGTGTGGGGCTGGGACCCCCTCACTCCTCAAGGAGACCTCTGCAGCCAAGATATTCCTCCCAATTCTCAATCACCACACATGAATGTGGTACCAACCTGTTCTATGTCTCTCCCTGTCTTACCAGTCTCAATGTGGCTTCTTTTTTATGTCCTTAGTTATAGGACTTCTGTTTAGCTAGTCTTCAGATGGTTCTCCAGGTTGATTATTCTATAATTTAGTTGTAATTTTGATGTGGTCATGGGAGGAGGTGAGCATGGCATTTATCTACTTTGCTATGTTGACTGGAACTCTTCTATCCTCATTCTTTGGTCAAGCTCAAGACCTCATATTCTCTATGGTCTCCAAAGCGCTAACCACGATGCTGTATACCTGAAGTATAAACATTCCCACTTAAATGAATAACTGAGAATTGATGTAATGAAAACCTCACCATTGTCTGACATGGAGTAGATTTGAAGAGATGGAAACATACCAACCAGATTCAATCTTGCACAAAATCAAGAAAGTAAACAAGAAGGGTGCTTTGAAAGATTATTTCACTATTACCTGTTGAAGGTCATTGGCCTCTTTCAACATTATCACCTTAATAGCATTTGCTTTATGTTTATTATAATATGTTAATATCAATTCTTAATTATAGTTCTTAGGAAACGGCGTACCATTTTGCATGATTGATTGGTACAAGTATCTGTTTTTTATGTTTATAAACTTTGTCTTGAGTTTAAACATGTTTGGGAAGAATAGTGAAATTTTGGTTCATAGGACATTATTGAAATGAAAGGAGGAGCATGTAATTTGAAAGATTTGTGCCATTCTTTGTGATGGATACATGAATGTCACAAAGCTGAAATGTTTAGTCAGGAAAATCTAATGTCAAATCTACTCTCCTTAAAATCAGGATCAACCACAAGATGAACAGATGATATTCTCATTTTTAATTTCCCCTCCCTGTTCTTCTCTTACTATTTTTATCATGAAATAATATTAAAATGAAACTTGAGGCAGGTTTGAGGGAGGTGGCTAAGATAAGGAATTCCAAAAGTATAACTTGAAGAGGAACCAGATTTACCTTTGCAACTGGAGGGTGGCTAAGCAGAGTTGAAATGGAGAAGGGGAAAACACTCTGATGGATTGTGTGCAATGAATCTCAGCCTTCTTTTTTAGCACCATCTAACAGATCCCCATGTGTGCCAGTCATCCAAGCCAGTCAGTACTGTCTAGGGCTTTGAGTATGGCCACTTACTGTAGAAGGGCTCAGATCATTAGAAGGAATGCTTCTGCAATAATCACTCCCTTCCCTCTGGTAGAAATTAGGTATAACAGCTTTTACTAATTATAGGCTAGTGGCTCCGGTGCCCTCCCAATAGTAAATTGCTTTGAGACAGCAGCTGGGAATGGGAGTAGTAAAATAAATCCAGAAGAGCCTCATCAAGCTTTTCTTGCCCATTAAGTGAAAATAAAATATCATACTTGTGAAGTTCTATGGAAGGAAAAATTGGAAAGATAGCTCAAGTTGCTTAGTAAAGAGAATTTTGCAATCAAAACACCACATCAGCCACTGTTAAAACAAAAATGCAATCAGGAAAATTACTTAAAATGTTTATGTTTACTTCCAGTTTTCGAATTAAAGTACAGCATCATGTTCCTTTGGGTTGTCATTCAAATTCTCTCTTCTCCTGATTCCTATAAATGTAGTAGCTGATAAACTTCTTTCTTTAGAAGTAGAATGACTATCTTAAAACTGATAATTTTTTTTCTTTTCTGAGAGTCATTGCTTGTATAATTCCCAGAAATCACAAATACATCTAGTTTAATTTCTTTATTCAATAGACACTCATTTCTGATTTTAAAATCATCATGTAAAATCTCTGCTGAGTGCTATTAAACTACCTTAGTTTGCAAATCATTTAACCCTAAACTGAATAAATTTAGACATTTCTTAGAGGTCAGCTAGGTCAGCTCATTTTTCATCTCAACCAGAACTTTTCTATACAGCATTCTTGACAAATCCTGTTTCAGCTTGGGTTTTGATGGCTTGGTACACAATGCTTTGTGAATAATACCATTAGGACTGTTGGTGTATGCAGCCCTTCTTTACATTTATCTTCAACAACCAATTCCTTGTTTCCCCTCCCCAACCTTCCACCTGCCAGTTCTCTTTTGGAATATACAAAATGTCTACTTCTTGAGCTCGGCCAGCACATCTAATAGTTAAAGTCAACTAACAGGTGAAAAAGTTTCTCATGAAACATAAGCCTCTACATCACCGCAAAGCCCAAATTCTGTTCTTCCTTCCTTTCTCTCTCTGGCTGATCTCTTTTCGTTCTTTCCCTCAACTGGAGAAAATGTGATTAACCCAAGAGGCATAGGAAGGTAAGAGCTGGAGTTAGAACACAAAGTGCCTTTACCTCTGGTGCTGTGTAACAAATTGCACAAGTAAAGGGAAACTACCTACTTTCTTTTCCCACAGTCTCTGACCTTGCCACCCAGATTCTTTTTAAATATTTTTTA